TATCTATCTATCTATCTATCTATCTATCTATCTATCTATCTATCTATCTTTATGGTGCTAGAGACTGAACTCAGGGCTTCCTAAATGCTAGGCAGGTGCTCTACCTCTGATTCACATCCCTGCCCAGATTTAAAACAACAACAACAAACAAAAAACAAAAAAACAAGGAAAGTAAAACAACCTCCCAATCCTCAGTCTTTTGAGGATCACATTATTGCTCTTCTTTCTAGAATGACAAGAATGACTGGTGTTGAAACTGACCCGCAGGTGAGAGTATTTCATTCATCGGTAATGTAAAGAACTTAAAGTAGCTGAGCTATTTCTTTGAAAATGATTGTAAGAACCTGAGTATGTAAAACACACAGGAAGGAGATGGCTCAGTGGGTAAAGTGCTTGTTGGGTGTGGTGGTTTGAATGACAATGGCCCCCATAGTCTCATGTATCTGAACGCTTAGTTGCCAGTGAGTCAAATTATTTGAAAGGATTAGAAGGATTAGGAGGTGTGGCCTTGTTGGAAGAAATGTGTCACAGGTTTCAAAAGCCCATGCTAACCTCACCCCCCCAACACCTCTTGGCCTGTGGATCGGAATATAGCTTCAGCTACTGCTCCAGCCATACTTGCCACCATGATCATAATGGACTGAACCTCTGAAACTGTAAAGCAGCCCCGACTAGATGCTTTCTTTTATAAGAGTTGCCTTGGTTATGCTGTTTCTTCACAGCGATAGAACTGTGACTAAGACACAGGGCAAGAATGAGAACCTGAAATTGGATCTCCACCGGCCTCCGGTACCACACCTGTAACCCCAGTCGGAGGGTGTATGGCTTGGAGACAGGTGGGTCTCCAGAGGTCCATGGCCGCCTAGCTAGCCAATCAGTGAGCTGCAGGTTCAGTGATAGGCCCTCTCTCAAAAACCAAGATGGAGAGCAATAGAGGAAGACATTGGGTGCTGACTTCTGGTTTTCTCAGGTCACACACAAGAAATAAATTAATGCACACAGGGAGCCTGGAATAGTGGCTCATGCCTGTAATCTCAGTACTTTAAGGACTGAGCCAGGAGGATTGCCATGAGTCTGAGGCCAGCAAGGGTTATATTATGAGTTCTAGGCTAGCCAAGAACATAGAGAGACTCTGTCTCAAACAAACAAACAAACAAACAAACAAACAAACAAACAAAAAACAACCTAACAACAAACAAAACAAAACAAAAAAGCAACCAAACAAGAAATATGGAGAAATGGCCCAGCATTTAAGGGTCCTTGCTACTCTTACAATGGAACTGAGGTCAGTTCCTAACACCCATGTTGGGCAGCTCATAACTACCTGTAACTCTAGTTCTAGGAGAGCTGAAGCCCTCTTCTGGTCACACATGCACATGCATATAAATACACACACACACAGAATTTATTTTAAAATAAAATAAATTTAATAAAATAAAACAAGAAAGTTTAAAATGAAAATAAAAATCCAATAATAAAAAATAATCAAGTCAAATTAAATACACAAGGGTATTTAAGGGAAGGTAGTTCAGGGGACAAAAGTCCTATTTGGGGGAACCCAGGGACCTAACCTTTGACCCCTGAGGCCCACATGGTGGAAAGAGGGGACTCATCCTGGCAAGGTGTCCTTGGACTCCCACACACTCCCACCAAAATAGATAATAATTGTAAAAAACAAACCACAACCCAAACTCTAAAACTCACAGGCTGGGGTGCTGCTTAAAGGGTTGGTGGTGGAGAGAGCCCCCAGACCTGGCCCCTCCATCCCTTAGAGCCCGAGGAGTGGCTGGCAGTAGGAGTCTGTCAGACTAGCTTTGAAAACTCCTGATTATCTTTGATGTCAGAGGTTGGCTGGCTGTGGCCCAGAGAAACGCGGTGGCCGGTGAGTTAGGAGGGATGCCAGCCTCCAATCTTCTAGCTGTGGTGGTTTTATAGGCTTCTCAGGGAGATCTATCGGTGCTTCTTCGTATGAACCCTCTGGGACACTTGTCCAAGAAAGAGGCCGGGGGAGGCAGAGCTGGAAGGGGCTGGCTGTGTTTCTTATTTTCCTTTGCCATCACCATCCACCTAACTTCAGCACCAGTGAAATAGGTTAGGGAGGGGACCCACAGGGACTACAAAAGAATCCAAAATAAGAGTTGGCAAGGGGTTTAGGTTAGCAAATTAATTCGTTACTTTGATGAGCCTAAGTGTGTAGGGGTCAGTGGACAACTTGAGGAAGTCAGTTCTGCCCTTCCACCTTGTGAATCCTTAGGGCAGAACTCAAACTGTCAGCCTTGGCAGCAGAGGTCTTTTCCTTGCACACACCATCCCAGCGGCCTCAAGGGGTCAGGTTTAATGGGTGAGAAGAAAGACAAGCAAAGCAAAAATGAGGGGAAGAGGCGGTAATAAAAGAGAGACTGACTCAGACTGAGTCTTAGTTTTGCTCTAGTTTGGGGCAAGTTCTGGCTGCTTTTCCTGCCTCAGTTTCCTTTGAAGGTTTCTTTGCCCACCAGCCGCTAGCAAAGGTATAGGCAGGCTGTGGGAAGGGACAGTGTAGCATAAGCTAGCCCCATACAATGGGAGCTGGGTTTAGGCAGTCCTGTGCCGACAGCATGAGCAACTCAGAAAGCCTGTCTGGGCCTTAGATTCTTCACCAGTAAACCTGGACAGCACACGATTATCTCCGCCTAAGGACACTTTAGGACTCTAAGGACACTAGCAAAGATGTGGGGCTGTGTTTAGGGAACGGGGGAAGGCAGATGTTTGGCTCCAGGGCACCTGGAGTTGTAGACTTCAGTGCTCAATGAAGACTAGTCTACCAAGTCTGGCTGGCTTCTAGTTGTTTGAGGCTGAATCTCATTATGTGGCTCAGATCAGAAATCTCGATCCTCCTATGTCAACTCTTGAGTGCTGGGATTATATATATATATATCTTACTACTTCCAACTAGCAATCTTGTTTTATTTATTTATGTAGCCCTCGCCAGCCTCAGCCTCAGACGTACTACCTAGCAGAGGATGACCTCTAGTTTCTGCTTGCCCTGCCTCCACTTCCTGAGCTCTGGGATCGCGAGCCTGTGTTTGGTTTTCTGTGATGCTGGGATCTAACACAGGGCTTTGGGCAGATTAGGTTAGCACTCTACCAATTGTGCTATGTTTCTAACTCATAGAATCTTGTTTTATAGGTGATGAAATGGCTTGGAAAATCAAAATGGTGTTCTGCCTTTTTTTTTTTTTTTTTGAGACAGGGTTCTCTCTGTAGCCCTGGCTGTCCTGGAACTCACTCTGTAGACCAGGCTGGCCTCGAACTCACAGAGATCCACCTGCCTGTGCCTCCCTGAGTGCTGGGATCAAAGGCATGAGCCACCACCCACCGGGCCCCTCCTTAGTTTTTATCCTGTGAACTCTACATAGTCTAAAGATTCAGCTCAAAACAGGTGTGTGTGGTAGACAAACTTTTATTTTTTGGGGGGTTGTTTTTCTGAATAGTGTTGATTTTGCAACATGGTTGGTTGTTACAAAAATTTTCATTAGTATAGAAAGTGAAAACCCTAGGAAGCTGCTGTCATCCTCCTACCCTCATTCCTTCTTCATCCCTTCGGTTCCCAGGGGAGTCCCTGAGAACAGTTGATTCTCAACTCCCACATCCTTTTTTTTTTTTTTTTTTGAGCTAGGATCTTGCTGTGTAACCTAGAGTGGACTCACTATTGGTCCCTCTGTTTTGGTCCCTTGAGGGTTAGGATGACCCTGTCCTATTTTTGTCCTGCCCTTCCTGATGACTCCTCCACCCCGTTTTTCCTTCTCACGTAGATGAGACTGTGGTATGAAGTATTCAGTTGTACACATTAGAATCAGACATACCTGTGTTTCAATCTCAGCTCAGAGTTAATCCTTGGAGTGACCTTGGCCAAGTTATTTTAACTATAGTGTGTGTGTGTGTGATCTGAGTAATAATGGTTTCTGTCTTACAGGATTATGGAGGATGTGATGAGATATTATAAGCAACACACACACATATGCACGTGAGCGCGCGTGCGCGCGCGCGCACACACACACACACACACACACACACACACACACACACACACAGTCCAGTGACACAGAATGAGTTAGAGACAAAACGTGTGCTAAATCTTGAGTTTTCTAACCTCTACCCTCCCAACTTTTGCCATATCTGTTTCTTAAGCGGAACCACCCTAACCACCCACCCCCACCCCGGGCACAAAAGCCACAGTATTTGTTAAAGGAACAACTGCCGGGAGAGGGTGGATCTAGGGAGCTGAAGTCTCTGAGTTCTTGGGATGCCTGCCCTGGACCATGCGGGTTTTGCCCTGTGGGTTGACAGAGTGGGGGCAGCAGAGCTCGCTGGACCAGCTGTTCGCTCAGGGCTCCAAGCCTGGAGAGCTGAGCCCCAGGGCAGGGTCTAAGGCTCTCAGCTTAAAGGATTTTAGCTTAAAAGGAATGTGCAGTGGGCCGCCTCTGCCCAGGAGGGACTAAAAAAAGCCTCAACCTGCCCTGGGTTTTGTGTGAGGGTTATCAACAGCTCAAGTCAGCTCATCTCTCTCTGGCTCCCCTGACACTTTGGAGAGGGCCTGTTTTCCTGCCCCTCTCTGGGTTTCCACCAATTGGCAGGAAAGGACCAATCTGTCCCAGAGGCGCAAGCTGTTGAGGAGTGAGGTGTGTGCATTTGGGAGAGGGCACCGGTGGCCCCAAACCTGGTGACAATGCCGAGATGTCAGCTGCGCCCTGCTGCTCTTTCTTCCTTTTATAGTCAGCAGCAGTTGCTCTTGCTCTCGCTCAGCCCCTCTGTGGGGGCTCCTGCTTGAGATAAAAGCAGGGCAAGGCCGCCCAGTCCCCCATCTTCTCTCTCAGCTGCCACCTCTCCTCTTCTGGTTCCTTTGTAGGTCTGACCTCCACTGGAGATCTTGAGACAGCATGCCTCCCAAGAAGCCTGAGCCTAAGAAGGAGGTCGCCAAGCCAGCTGCAGCCCCGGCGCCAGCCCCTGCCCCGGCTCCAGAGCCCCTCAAGGACTCTGCCTTTGACCCCAAGAGTGTGAAGGTGAGTGAAGCTCAGTCCACTGGATCGGGATCCTCTTCTCCACGTTGTTGAGAGATTGCTTTCTCTCAGGCCAGACAGAGATGAGGACCATGGCATCCATGCCCAAGATCATAGCCCAGAGGTTCAGTGAAACCAGGGGGGGAGGGGGCAGAGGCTTTCTCTTTTAACAACAGGTTGTTGCTATGTGCAAAGGAGGCTCATCAGGACCACCCCCCATTAGCCCCGCAGGAAAAAAAAAATGGTGGCGGTACAATCTACAAGCCAGATTTTGTAAAGCACAGTGCGCGGCAACCACAGTGAAGTCAAGGTTAGCCTTTGCCTGAAGTAGGCTATGAATATTTACTTTAAAAGTTATTATTTTATGAGTATGGATGTCTTGCCTACACGTATGGGTGTGCTGCATGCAGTGCCCACGGAAGCCAGGAGAGGGTGTTGTATCCCCCGGAACTGGAATCATGAGATGCCATGTGGGTGCTGGGGATTGAACCTTAGTCCTCTGGAAAGCAGCTGGTGCTCTTAATAGCCGAATCATCTCTCCAGCCCTGAGAGGTGGAATATGCTTATGAAAAACAGACACATTGGTGGGAACCAGTGGTGTAACCGGGGATGGCGATTGAGCGGCCAGGGAGGATGCTCTTGTGTGCTGGGGTACAAGAGGCTTCACTCACAAACACAGTTTAGGGCAGAGACGTAGAGAAGGTTAAGAGCAGCCTGGGGCCTTCTTTTTCTCTTTCCCTGTACTGATGGGCCACTCTTTTGTGACCCCAGCCTGACTGGCTCGCTCCCGGCTGAGGCTTCTCTAACTTGATGAGGGAGCTGGGCCTGCTTTCTTCAGCCTCCTGGTTTCATGCCCTGCCCCATCATGTTCCCCTCACTTGGCTGGTGACACCTCCTCTCCCTGGAGCTGGTATGGGCCCCTGTTGACTGACTCAGTCATTTTAGGCCTCCCAGCAATGTGGCCCAGCTGTCTAAGGAATGAACCCGGAAGGGTTGGGCCTGGGAGGGAGAGGAGCAGTTTGAATATGTAGCACCAGACTGGGAGAGGTCAAGAGGTCAAGTGGCTACTGGTATGAAGAGCTATTAATGTCAGGTCTGGAGTGGTGGGCCCCCTCAGGGAACTCAACCTCCAGACAAAGCTGGGGGGTGATGGGAACAAGACAGGGATCTGTGACACACAGCCAGAGACCCTGTACCTAAGGCTTTAATCATGTGGGCCACCATAGTCTTCTCAGGACCAGAGCCCACATAAGAAACTCCATACATTACTGAGCCAAGGGTCAACACCTATTAGCTCTAAAGGTCTTTAGCAGGATGGGCCTGTCAGAGGTGAAGGCAGTTGCTCCATGCCTGGACTTGGTTTTGTGTGGCTCCTGGTGGGGAACCCAGAAGCTTTCTGCACCATCTTTCTCTCCTGAAAGCAGACCATCTGTGTCCACAAGACCCTCCTCCCCCCAGCCTTTATTTCTGATTTGTCTGATTAAAGGCCATGCTGATTAAAGGTCCTGTTGCTTGGACAACAGCTGCCCAGTGCATCACGTGAACAGTGTCCCCTCTTGCCTATCACTTCCCTCCACTCAGTCACCTCTCCTGATTTCCCATCCTTTAAAATAGAAGGAAGGAAGAAAGGAAGAAAGAAAGAAAGAAGGAAGAAAGAAAGGAAGGAAGAGAGGAAGAAAGAAAGGAAGCAAGAAAGGAAGGAAAGAAAAGCTTCAGCAGTATTCATGGGAGCCATTTCCCTGTTCACATATTCACCTAGTTCCTTTGTTTATAAGATTCCTTGATTAGCCTGGCGCCTGTAATCCCAGCACTCAGGGAGGCAGAGGCAGATTCCTTGACTAAAGTGAGAGCAGAGGTAAACCTGTGCTCAGTATGTCAGGATGACGTCATGATCAGGCTATGTGCTTCTGCCCTGACTTCTTTGACATGCCTGTTCCTGGGGGCAGAAAACATGTCAGAGCAAGGCAAGGTGACCTTTCCTTCAGAGCATCAGCATAGTGTAGCAAGGGCTTTTCTTCTTTTTCTTCTCCTCATTTACCTCCAGACTTGGCAAAACCACTCCTGCGCATAGTGTTCTGACTGAGCTCCCCCCGCCCCCCATGGTGTCAGTGCCAGAGGAAGAGGCAGAGCAGGCATGGAATGGTGGCACAGGGAATGCCCAGGGGTGGCACCAGGGTAGAGTGGAGCGGAGAAGGACATCAAAGTGACATCCACGATCCTGTCAAAATGATGACTCATGCTTGGTCGTCTCAGTCCGTCTGCAGAACCTCCCGCCCCATGCTCTGTACTCAGCATCGTACAGCATGTGCGGTGGGGGGGGGGGGACCCCAAATCCACTCATTCACTCAACACAATATTTTTAAGTACTTACTATGTGCCAAACACTTGAGCCATAATAATAAAAACCTCCGCCCTGGGGGAACCTGGTTTTCTTGAAACAGGCGCAGGTGAGCCCGTGACAGAGTCTAGGCCTGGTGACTTACTAGAGTGCCTGGGAGGAAGTTGGTGTGGATGGCTGAAGGGAAAGGTTTCCTTCATTGACCGTGCATTGACAGGCAGAATAGGGCGTCCCAGGGTGAGCGGTAGTGAGCATCCAAAGCCTGAGGAACATCTTGTCAGGGATTAGGGACTAGGGAGAGCTTGAGCTTGACAGTGAGAGCAGCTGGCTACAATGAGGAGGAATTTACTGTTGACCCTAAAGGAATTGTAAGATGAGTCACTGTAGGCTCTAGAAAGATGTAGGTAAGTAACCTCTTTCTCTTTTCCTTTTGATGGTGTTTTTTTGTTTGTTTGTTTTGCGTTTTAAAAGATTTGTTCCATTTATGAGTATGAGTGTTTTGTCTGCATGTATGCATGTCTGTTGCCCATGGATTCCAGGAAAGGGACCTCCTGGAACTGGAGGCCGTGAGCGGCCGCGTAGGTGCTAGAGCCAGAACTTGGGTCCTCTTCCGGAGCAACAAGTGGGCTTAACTGCTGAACCGTTTGCCCAGCCCCCAGCCTTAGTTTTGGTAGTGCTTTGAAGGCTGTGTTGCCTCATAGACAGCCAATCTGGCTCATTCCTCAGGAGACTGTTTTACACTCAGCCCAGGGTCCTTCCTTCCCTCTTCATCAGTGGCCTGCTGGAGGTGACCAGACTTCCTTTAGAGTCCCTGCCCTCCTCACTCCTGTGTTTCTCTCCTTTACAGATAGACTTCAGTGCCGACCAGATCGAAGGTGAGTTGGAACAACTCCACGTTCTGTTGCACTTTCCAGAGGAGTAAGTGGTCCTTGTGGTGACCGTAATTATTACACCCGAGCAGGCCTGTTAGGCTCTTTACATGGATCAAGTCACTTTATTCTTCAAACAACCCCACGAGGTATAGAAGCTATCCCTACCCCCATCTAACAGGAAGTAAAACCAAGGCTTAGAGAATTTGGGTGTCTTGTCCATTCTCACACAACCAGCCCTGGGGTCTTCAGGGTTCAAATTCGAGTATCTGATTCTAGACTTTTGCTTTCAGCCGTCCTTAGATGTGGTTGATGCTCAGCAAACGCTGATCCCTTTGCTTCTCCATCATGCCCCTAATCTGTCAAGTCACCCGGGAGTCCTTCTCTCTGTCCGTGATGCAGGAAACCCTCTTAGCTTACGAGCACTCACTCCTTCATTATGAAGGAAGTCTGAGACATGTCCACCCACCCTGGTGGCAGAGCCAGCAGTGACTTGCAGGCACACTGGTTCGCCTGTGGTGTCCATCACCAACTCTTCTCATTTTCAATAGAGACAATTTCTCAGTCTCATATGAAGTGTCAGTAAATGCAACTTGAGGATAAATCTCAAGGGGCTGGAGAGTTGGTTCCGTGGTTAGGGTTGTGCACTGTTTTTGCAGAGGATCTGAGTTCGGTTTCCAGCACCCATGTCGGGCAGTTCACAGTCACTTATAACTTCAGCTCCTGTGCCCCCCCCTTCCATCTCCCCTCTATACACATAATTAAAAACAAAATAAAGCTTAAAAAAGAGAGATCTTGGGACATCTCACACATGGATGTACTTAACTAATCAGAGAGACTTTGATGTTGTTTCCATTTGGGGGACATTAGCATGGGGTCTTCCTGGCTCTGGGTGAAAGGGGGCCTGCACTTAAGCTGCAAGATTAGTAGTAGTAATTGTCAGTTTCCCTCTGAGAAAGTGCATCAGCTTCCACAGAACGTGAGCGCCGGCACATGTGCTTTGGAACTGGTGACAGGAATCTGTCTTTGTGGTACACTGTGGAGACACACTGTCAGGCAACAGTTGTAGATGCTGAAAAATCCTTTTGCTTTCTAGTTAAATACATGCATCTGCCACAATGTCAAATCCATGGCACAAGTGAGGTCTGGAAACTCAATTAATAATCAGATTGTTCGTTGCCCAAGGGAATTCATGGTGAAAGCTCACCAGGATGACTGGCTGAGTTCTGCTCTCCTTGAAGATTTTCAGGCTGGGGGTCTTTGCTCTCTGTAACTTTTCACAGCCTGGCTTTGAAGCCACTTCTCTTCATGTTGGAGCATGATGCTTTCTTCTTTCATCTTCATCCCTGTTGTCCTTTCGTGTGCTTTTTTGTGAAGCTATGGCTGCTGGTGAGTGGTTTTCTTTTTTCTTTTTCTTAAGACAGGGTCTTAATTAACCCAGCTTGGCCAAAAATTCACCTTTTAGCTGAGAATGGCTTTGAACTTCTGATCCTCTTGCCTCCACCCCCCCCCCCCAAGTGCTGGTATTATAAGTATGTACTACCATACCTTGTATTTGTGGGGCTGGGGATTGAACCCAGGACTTCATCCATGTGAGGCAAGCACTCTACTGACTAAGCTTCATCCTCAGCCCCAGCCAATTATTTTCTCGTGTTATAATGGAAAGAACATTCTTTGGAATCAGGAGACTTATTGTTACTGATTCTTCCTTTATGAGCCATAAGAAGTTGTTCACTCTCCTCTTCTCCTTCCTCTTCCTCATCTTCCTCCACCTCCCAGACCAGAAGCGGGCATCAGAACTCTTGGGGCTGGATCTACAGGCTCCTGTGAGCTGCCTGGTGTGGGTGTTGGGATCTGAAATCTGGTCATCTGATAGACAGAACAGTAAGCGCTCTTAACCACTGAGCCACCTCTCCAGTCCAGAAATTACTTCTTTAAAACTTAATCTTCTCATCTTCAAAATGAAGCTATTTGGTTCTGTTCAGCTCAGAAATTTTATGAGCATTCAGCATCTTGTCTACATCACCCTTTGTCTATCTGGAGCTAATTGCCACATTCTTCTAAGCTTTGCAGTCTCTGGGTGACATGGCTCCAAGTTGCCCAGACCTCCCTGTAGTGAGAATTTTGCAATTTTTGTTTCTTTAAAAAACACAGAAATGTTATGGGACTGTGTTTTTGTTTTAATCCCAGGTATGGGGATAAGAGGCTGTTGCACAGTTCTGGCAGGGGTATGGTTTTGCCAGCTGCAGATAGTTTCTGTGAGTGTGTGGCATTTGGAATTCTGGAAACTTTTCAGAGTATATGTAAGTGCCAGGGCCCGGAGAGGCAGGGTTGGTGTTGTTCAGTGGTTGGTTGTGGTGTGTCAAGGAGTCGTATGCCAAGAAACCAGAAGAAATTAGTTACCCTGACGACGAAGATCAAACTCGCCCCAAGGAACTCGATGCCCCTAATCAGCAGAAAGAAGTCTAAGGACGACTTGACTCCCTTTCCCCTCTATCCTTTTTTCCTCTCCTATCTAGTGTTAGGGGGTTAATAAGGAGAAGGGTGGAAGAGAGAAAAAGGAACCCACAAAGTAGGAAACACTGACCAAAGCTCCCCTATAGGAACAAGCTTCGGACTACTGACTCCTCTGTTTCCTCACGGGTAACCGTGGCTTTGCTATTCCTACTAGTAACTCTAGACATCAGTGTTTTCATGCGTGCACTGGGGTCCCCAGCAGGCAGAGCTGTACGTAATAAAGCCCGGGGCAATCCGCTTTGAGTGTGGAATAATTTGTTATTCGTATGCAGCCTTTAAAGGAAACAAGCAGTTCTAAAACACCTGGAAATGATTAAAGGCGGCCTCCCTCGCAACTCAGCGTTCTTCGGTTTTTGGTCTGCCTAGTTGATTTGCTTTAACCCCACCAGCACTGGCTTCCAACTCTTGATGTCTTCTCTGGTCCTGCCATGGAGCCTTTGCCTTACTGGGCAGCAGCCTCGTTGCTGCAGTCTGTTGTCACCTGCTGTTGTTTGCGGTTGTCCCCTGCTTTGTGCACAGCATGAGGTGACTTCAGTGTCACCGCCAGGTCATAGTCTAATAAACTAACTGAATCCAAATTGACGGAGAACTAAGCCAGACCTGGTGGCACACGCCTATGATCCTGGTGCTTGGGAGGTGGAGGCCGGAGGATCAGGAATGCCTGGTCATCCTCTGCTACTAGCATGATTGGAGTCAGCCTGGACTACGTGAGGCCTTGACTCAAGAAAACAAAAGCAAACCAACCTATGAAGAATGAGGGCTATTTGCAAAGAGCCCAGGGGTGTCTTAACTTGGCCTTGCCCCTCAGATACCTGCTCTGCAACCTGCAAGGTGTCAGGTCTTTCTTGTACTGAGCTAGCCCCAGAGGCAGGGGACTTGAGAGCCACCTTGGTCCGTTCTGTACCTCTGTGAAGCACACACTGGGCACACATTTTGCTCCCGTCAGCCATCCATGCAGTGGACATTGTGTCCCCACTTAAAGCTAAGAAGCAGAGAACCCACAGAGGTGTCCATTTACCCAGGGCTGTCCATTTACCAGTGGTTCAGTGGCAGGCCGGGTATGGTCTGACTGTGACCCCAATGTCACCTTGTCTGGCCATGGAGCTCTTTCAGTTGGGAACAGGCAGTACTGACAATAGCTGACTTTTGGATAGGTCGTATTACTTTGCAAACTGTCTCCACATCCTGCCACCTCCTTCGACACTCACAGTGACAGGGAGAAAGGGCAGAGCAGGAGGGAACTGAGGCCCAGCCTGGCTTTCCTACTCTCCTAGGAAGAGCCAAGCTGAAAACCTGGGAAGCCTCACTCCTGGCAGGAATATTTTCACTTCTCCACTGTTTCCTAGTCAGGGACTAATGTACACCAGGGAAGGATGTGGGGTGAGGAGAAACAGGGAAATAGTCAAATCTTATAACTGACCGAGAGAGGAGAGCCAAAGACCCGTGCTAGGGTAGGTCCTGGGGTCTCCGGGTGACTTTGGCTGTCAGGAATGGGGTGGGAACAGTTTCCCAGGACAGCCTGGGGACAGTGGCTGAAGGGAACGGCTACATCCTTAACCACTCCATCAAGCAAACTACAGCCGCTGCCTCTGCTTGGGGCAGGGGGCTGTAGCTGGGTGTTTCTCTACAGAGTTCAAAGAGGCCTTTTCACTGTTTGACCGGACTCCAACGGGAGAGATGAAGATCACCTACGGGCAGTGTGGGGACGTGCTGAGGGCCCTGGGCCAGAACCCCACCAACGCAGAGGTGCTGCGTGTTTTGGGCAAACCCAAGCCTGAAGGTCAGTGTGAGGTCGATGGCTAAATATGATTGATTTCAGCACCCATTACAGCATGATCTAATGACTGGAGCCGGCGCAGGGTTAGACAGACACTTGTTCTCTTCAATCCTGGTGGCTTATCTCGGTCACTCTGCCTGCCACCGATGGGGTGTCTCATCCAGAAGCAGCTGGGGCCTAAGCCCTGTGTGGCTGGGGCTGGGAAGAGACCTCTTGGCCCTCTCCTGCCCTGAGCAGCTGCTTACGTGGTGGTCTCTGTCTGCCCTCATGCCCTCTGGAAGAGATGAATTCCAAGACCCTGGACTTCGAGACGTTCCTGCCCATCCTGCAACACGTCTCTCGAAACAAGGAGCAGGGCACCTATGAGGACTTCGTGGAGGGGCTGCGGGTCTTTGACAAAGAAAGCAACGGCACGGTCATGGGGGCTGAACTTCGGCATGTCCTTGCTACCCTGGGTATGTCAGCTGGGCGGGGATGAGCTGCACAAGAGTGGCTGTTGAAGAGGGGGACCAAGCGGTGTATGGTGGGGTGTAGCTAAGGGTCCCTGCATCTGGCAAATCCTAACCCAGGGCTTGTTTTCCTGGACTCTATAGGACCCTGCCTCCTTTATCCCACGACCTGGGTTTGCCCAGCAAGCACCAGAGGCTGGGAGAGGAGCAGGTGTCAGAGCAGGGGTTGTGAAGCCTGGTGTGGCTTCTGGCCCTCTTTCATGGCCCTCACCACCATGCTGCGGGCAGAGGGGAGAGGTGTGTCCCAAGATACGTGACCCCGAGTTCCGGAGCCTTCCCTGAGGCTTGGCGTTAACCATTTCTCAGACCCAGGGTGGTCTTTAAGCCTGATGAGTGCTTCAGTTTCTCCTTCCCCTTCCCTGCCACTTACCATTGAGACCTCCTTCCCATGCCCTCAGGAGAGAAGATGAGCGAGGCAGAGGTGGAGCAGCTGTTGTCTGGGCAGGAGGATGCCAATGGCTGCATCAATTATGAAGGTATGGTCCTTCCTTGCTTTCCGGGGTGCCCAGGGTAAGGGAGTGGCATAGGATGGGATGGGCCGGCCCAGAGGCTGCGGGCTGTTCTTCTCGGGTGGACTGTGGCAGATTCTCACCGGATGCTTTTTTTTTTCCGTCTTGGGAGTGACTATCTGGAATAAGGGACATTAATGTGTCTTTATTACTGGTGTGTGTGTACCTGTGGTTCCAGTGCAGGTATGATACACACACGTGTTCAGAGGTCAGAAGACAATCTTAGGGAATTGGTACTTCCTTCTAGCATCGTTTCCTGGGAGGGGTCATCAGACTTTTGTGACAAGCACTTTAGCCACTGATCTGTCTCATTGGCCCAGGACCTTGGGTTTTAGGGACAGTTCTTTGATAAACCATCTGTGCGATTCCGATCAAGTCACTTCCCCATTCTGAGCCTCAGTCTTCTCAAACAGGGAGTGGTCATGCCTTAAGCTTGTGGGGGTATGTAGTGATGACATCATCCATAACACCCGTCTAACATCAGCACAGAGGAAACACAAAGCAGAGTTTGGGTCCTTGCCCTCTTCTGCCTTCTCCACCAACCCTCCAATGAGAGAACTGCCACCTGCAGAAAGGGCACAGCTGGGGGTGTGGGGGACAGGAAGTGGGTTAAGAAGTGGAGAGAAGGGCAGAGCTCCAAGGGACACCTGGCTGATTCTTGTTTCCTTTTCCTAGCATTTGTCAAGCACATCATGTCTGGGTAAAGTGGATTTCTCCGGGTGAGTTCTACCCCTTCCTCAAGGTCATTCTGGGCTTACGGGCAGCACCACATGCCTGGGAAGTCTTCTGTGCCCAGCATATGGGGCCAAGATGGGATGGCAGCTTTGAGCTACCAGCTTGGAGGGGGCACTAGCTTGGTAGCCCTCTTTCTTGCCCCACCTTGTCTTTTGCCTTGTTTGAGCTAGGGTTTCTCTTGCTATGAGAAACACTATAAAAGCAAGCTGGGGAGGACAAGGCTTGTTCAGCTTACAACTGTCAGTTCACACTCCATCCAGGAGGGAAGCCAGGGCAGCAATTTAAGCCTGGAGGCAGGAGCTGAAGCAGAGGCCACAGAGGAATACTGCTTGCTGGCTTGCTCCTCATGGCTTTCTTAGCCTGCTCTCTTACACAATTCAGGGGTGGCCAAGAGTAGCACTTCCTCTAGTGGACTGGACCTTCCCACATCAATCATTAATCAAAAAAACAAAAACAAAAACAAAAAAACAAATCAAGATCAAATAGAAACACTACAGACTTGCCTATAGGCAATCTGATGGAAGTATTTTTCTCAACTGAGGTTCTTCTCAGATAACTCAAACTGGCAAAAGAAAAACTAAAAACCAACCAACCAACCAACCAACCAACCCCAAACCAAAACCAAATTCCAACCAGGACATGCCCTGTTTGACTTACTATATGCCCTCTCATCTCTCCCTCTGTCTTTCAGTCCCGGGCACAGCACAAGCTCTTGGGTGTGACAAAGCCCTGCCCCAGACTGAAGCCCCTGGCTTGTGCCTTCGGTCCCTTGGTGTAGAGCCCTCCCAGTGATATGGGCTGTGACAAGGGCATGGGATGTGGGAGGCTGACACCCTCTCTTCATCTAGCACTTTCTTTCAGGTGCTTGGTCCTGAGAGACCCATGCTGGCTGTCATGGAGTCTTGGATTCCCGTCTAGGGCCTAACAGGCCCACAACCTTCCCTGTAAATAAAAAGCCCCAGTATGAAGTCTCGTCCATCCCTCGGTTGTTGTGGTTGCTTTTTTTTTTTTTTTTAACCTAATTAAAGGAATTAATTTGTGTGTGTGTATAGCTGTCACCCGAGGCCCCGTGTTCTTGAGAATTGAGTTGGATCTTAGAATGGGGAGACAAGGACAAAAGGCCAAGGCTCTAGAAATAGTGGCACCTGGCACATGGGCAGGAGGTCTTTGAAGGGTCTGCAGCTGGAAGGATCCACAAAGTTCCCTTTCCACCCTTAACCCCTAGGGAAGCGGGATACCTGGGTGTCAGGATTCTTCACAGAGCTTTTGCTTCTCCTTCTCCTTTTTCTCCTTCTCCACAGGTGTGGAAACACACACCTGTGATCCCAGTGGTGGGGAGGTGGAGGCAGGAGGATCAGATCAGATCCTCTTCAGCTACATAGCTCAGGCTACATGAGAACCTGCTTCTAAAATAGAAATTAAAAAGTGTTAGCTCAATACTTGGTTAGTGTGTGTGAGGCCCTGGGTTAGAGCCCCAGCACTTTAAAAAAATGCGTAAACACCTAGAACACAGGCTTCAGCATGATAACCATTTCAAAAACAAGTTAAGAACGTTCACATCGTGAGGCTGGAGAGGTGGCTGATCAGTCAAGAGTGCTTGCTTGCTCATCCCGAGGACCCTGAGTTTTGTTCCCAGCACCCATGTCCAGGGGTTCACAGCCACTTGTAACTCCAGCTCCAGGGTGTCCAATGCAGTCTTTTGGCCTCTGAGGACACTTTCTCACCCATGGTAAACACACACTCTCTCTCTCTCTCTCTCTCTCTCTCTCTCTCTCCTAAAAAGAAAAAAAAAACATTCTCACAAGCTCAATGGCGGAGCACTTTCCTAGCATGCAAAAGCCCCTGGGTTCCTTCCCTACGAGCATTCACTAGTCCTGCCTCTACCACAGTCAATCAGCACTCCGTGTTTTGCTTTTGTGGCTTTGATGGTTTACTCAAGATAAATGAACACATGCATTTGTCCTTTTGTGATTGTCCTTTACATTTAGTGTCATCCCTGTTGTAATTTGTGTCAAAACTGCCATCCCCTTTAGAGCTGAGATTACTCTACTGTGTTTTCCCCGAGAGAGCCTGGTTTGCTTTTTGGTCCCGGCTCCTTGGTGTGGACCAATGAGGTGCTTCTTCTGAGTGTGAAGCCCCTGGTACCTGCTTCATCCCTGTTTGTTCTGGAGCACTGGCCTTTCTTGCTGAGGACCCAGATTCAGTTCCCAGCACCCACATGGAGGCTCACAGCTGTCTGCAACTCCAAGTCTTGGGGATCCAATTCTGACTTCATCACCAGACACACACACACATAGTGCACAGACAAACATGGAAGCAAAATACTCATACACACAAAAATAAATATGTCAGTAGGGTACGGTGGCACCACACCTTTAAGCCCAGCACTTGGGAGGCAGAGGCAGCTGAATCTCTGTGAGTTCCAGGCCAGCCTGGTCCACAGAGTGAATTCCAGGACAGCCAGGGCTACACAGAGAAACCCTGTTTTAAAAACAAACAAACAAACAAATAAGGGAGGAGGCACCCTTGGGATGTAAAATAAATAAACTTAAATAAACTTAATTTAAACAAAGAAACAAAACCAAAGGGAGAAAGTAAATAAACCTGTAAAACCTCTAAAAAACCAAACAACAACAAAACGGTAACCAACCAGCTCATAAACAAACAAACCAGACTCAAACAACAAATTGACGTGCATTCATTGGCTTCCTTCCCACTGAGGTCCAGGGCTGGCATCGCTGTCATGCTGCTCACACCCTCAGGAACTTAGGCCCCTTTTATGCTGTTATCCTGGTGAGCTAAGATGGTTGCTGTTTCTCCACTGTCTTGTCCACTGGGGAAAAAAGCTCAGGACTGTTTCCTACTCAGCTAACATCTTTAGGAACGTTATGACCGATATGTTCCCTTTTCCATGTTGGGGCCGTCACATGAAGATGGAAGAAACTCCTGTCCTTTTATCTCAATTCGGAAGACTTAAGGAAGGCTCTGGTCTTCCATAGGAAGTCTTCCATAGGTATCCCATCCTATGGGTGGATGGGATACCTGGCAGCTGCTATGAGGAAGGAAGAATGACTGAAGGTACCATAAGGTTCCTCTCTGCCATCCAGGGTATGAGACAGTGAGCAAAGGTCTCAGTTCAGGTTTCCATGGAGCCGTCTGCTCCAGAGAGGATGTGCAGCCTCGTGGAAAGTTCCCCTCTCAGAGGGAATGAGTTGGAGGCAGTGGCCAGAGACTGGCTTGGAGCAGGCCTGACATTCCCCCTCCCCAATGCACCCTCCCTATTCCCAACTCTGCATGGAGCTCCTGATCCAGCCCACAGTCTCTACTGAGCTGTGGGAAGAATATGAGGAAAGCGGGCCTTAGAGATGACGAGATCATGAAACAGGGTCCTTTGAGGTAAAAACCACCACCAACGCCCTGAACACCTACTCCGCGCGTGTCCCTGTGCTGAGCAGATCACAGCCATTCCCAGGAGCCCAGGAGGTGGGCGCTACTGTCCCCACTCAAGGACATTAAGATATAATAGGAATAGCAAGGGCTGGGAACCTAGCTCAGTGGTGAGCTCCTGTCTAGCGTCTGTGGTCCAGTTCCCATCGGTAACAACAAAAGCCCCCAAAGACTTCTGGGTTGACACAATTTAGAATCCCATGGCGGGCTTGTCTCTGTGTGTGAGGGAGTGCCTTGATTAATGGCCACTGACAGCTGCACCGCTCCCAGCTCGAGCGTCCTGGGTTTGTGTAGGAGTGGAGAAAGCCAGTAGAAGGCAACTCGACAAACACATCACATCCGTTCAGCGCAAGAGCTCTAGCTTCCTCGCTAGGGCCTGTGATCGCCCCGGCCGTGGGCTTTGAGCCGGGTTTACAGGGTCAGATGTGAATTCCGTCCTGTGGAGCAGGTCTCAGACTACTTCCGCTACTCTTGCGGAAGGGGGCACCTCTCGCCTGGCTGATCAGTAGAGGAGCAACATTGAAGTTATCCTAACCCTTCAAGGTCAGAGGCAGGCTTGCCCCTTCCCCGTTGCTTTCCTCGCTGTCCGAGGTAAGCAGAGGGCTCAGCTTGTTCTCCTTATCAGTCACTAGGCTGAGAGCTGAGGGTATCAGAACCAGAGACCCTTTAGATTTCTAGCGTCGAGTAACCACCCGAAGGCAGTGTTTAGCACAGTGCCACCCTGTGTTTGGTATCCCGCAAAACTCCGGTTACCGGAGCATTTAAGGTAATAGCGTATGGCCGATGGCTGGAGGCGCCGTGTCTAGTTCTCACCACTAGATGGCAGAGCTGCAGCGGTGTGTCTCCAGTGGGAGGCCCAAGGTTCATAGCCAGGGCTGGGAGAAATTTCAGAAGTCACTCAGCGTATCTTTGGGCCTTTAGACAAATGGAGATCTTGTTTATTTTAAAAGAAACACAGCAACTAATTAGCCTGCGAGCTTCATTACAAGGTTTTGCAATGAGGGTCACACAGAGGACACTGTTGTGGAAATATGGATTCCCGGCATGACCCAGTTTGACTCCTAAACCATGTATTCACTTTGCCTTAGTCCCATAGCCTTTAGGGTAAGAGGGTGGACGGGATCATCTTTAAAACTTTTTTGCTATAATTAATTAATTAATTAATTGATTTTAAGTTAATTAATTGTGCATGTTTTGTGTGTGCGTGTGTGTGTGTGTGTGTGCATGTATCTGTAGGTGCCTAAAGATACATGGGACAGGAGACCAGTTGGGCAGGCTAGTTGGAAAGATGCTGCCTGAAGGAGAGTGAAAAAAGAAAAAAAGAAAGGAAAGAAAATAAAATCAGGCATGGTGGCCAACCCTTGTAATCCCAGCACTCTCGGGGAAACAGAGACAGGAGTATCAGAGGTTCAAAGTCATCCTTGGCTACATAGTAAGTTCCAGATTAGTCTGAGACATATGACTCACGATAGATAGATGGATAGATAGATAGATAAAAATACATGGCCAGAATATTACTCAGTAGTAAACTGCCGGCCTAGCATGCACAAAGCCCCAGGTTCAATCCCAACTTAAAACAAAAAAAAAGAAAAAAAGAAAAAAGAAAAGCGAGAGCTATATGCATTACCATGAATTTTAAGATTTGGTTAAAAAGAGACAATAATGAAAGAAGAATGAGGAAGATTACCCGAGAATAGGACTTGAGATGGAGACGGGAAGGAAAAGGGGTGGAGGGGGGATGGGAAGGGATGCACGCCGCCACTCAGAGGTGGGGAGAGGAGACATCTGGGGAGAGGCAGGAAAGACCCACACTTCTCTTCCCTGCTCTGGTCAGACCGCTGGGGCATTCAGGGCTAGGGCAGCCTCTGTCTAGTTCCAACCTTTCCTTAAAACCCCTGTAACACAGCTCACTTCCACAATCCTAGCACCCAAACAAACAGAAAGATTGCCACGAGTTTGAGGCCAGCCTGGGCTACAGAGTAAGACCTTGTTCCAAAACCAAGCAGCAAAGAGAGATCCGTGCAACACAAATGCCTGATTTACACCTTCATACCTACCCTAACATGGGGGTCATTACTTCCCAAGGTAGGCTATTCCACTAGAGGAAAAGCCCTAAGACTTGCTCCTCTGTACTTGTCTCCCGAGTTGACTCGGTGAAGGTCTAACACCGTGCAGCCGAGAGCTGGCTCAGCCGAGTGTGTACTGCAGTGCAGAGGACCTGAGTTAGGTCCGAGCGCCCTTTTGGGGCAGCCCACAACTACCTGTGTGTCCAGCTCTGAAGCCCTCTTCTGCCCCCTGTAGGCGCCTGTGCGCATGTGCACACACCCTTTCCTCGTGACTTAAAGATAAAATTACATTAAAAAAAAAAATTTAGGACAGTTCCTGAAAACACAAGTTGGAATTTCTTCTCTTCCAGGCCAACGTACCTGAGTGCACAGGGCCTGTCTGCTCGCTCTCCAGTTTGTT